GGGCGGGGCTGGGGCCCCGTGGAGTGTCCTCTTTTTGGACACTCCAAATATGGTAACCCTACTGGAAATAAGCATATCTATAGGGAAATCTTAAGAGCTTAAACCTATAGCGAGGTCCCTCGGTAACTATGCAGGATAGCTATCCAGGCTTAAGTCATCTACCACGGAAAGGTGTAAATGCCAAAGAAGTCTAACTAGGAAAAATATGATGAAATGAACTAGGAAGAGAAGAATTATCCAGATTATCAGGGGAAATGCCAGAAGAGCGAGATCTGTTAGAGTTGTTGCCACAGGGCTGTACTGGAAGCAGCAGTTTTATTCATTGAGTGTCCATCATCATGGTATCAAAGCACAAGTGTCTCTTTTGCCTGTGCATCTTCAGAAGAAAGTTCTGCTCTTGTGTTGGATCAATGGAAACTTTCCAACTGGACAACTTGCTCTAACTTAGCTGACTCATTGCCTTTCACCCCCTTTTCTCATGTCCAGGGTTCCTGTGTTTCCTGCTGAGTGCTCTGGGGGTCACAGCTGGAGCGCATCGTCTCTGGAGCCATCGGTCCTACAAAGCTGGCTTGCCCCTCAGGATCTTTCTGGCCATTGCCAACTCCATGGCTTTTCAGGTAGGAACCCCTCTCACTGGTTGTCAGCTTGCCTGTCCATAGGGAAGCAATGAGTCCTAAACTATATCCACATATACAACAGGGAAGCAGGTTGAAGTCACAGTCCCTTCTTCTGTACCATTCCCCTCTGACAGCTGTATCTCCAGAGTTATGCCTGAGATCACAGATCTTCACCTTTCACATGAGGGGGAGACTCACTGAGTAACACTGCTGCTGGGATGGGTGAGGGGTATTGGGAGTGGGAGAATGGCTAAGGAAATACACCAGTAGGAAATCACTCCAAACCAGGAGGATTTCGCTCTCCCTCCAGGGGCTCTTCTCCTCTTGACAGTTATGTCTGATTCCCATGAAGGACTTGGTGGAATTAGAAAGTGCTGACTTATGGGCCTAACTTTCCTCTTGCTTAGAAAGTTGCTAAAAGGAAATACTTTCGCCCAGCGTGTAATTAGGCTGTGGAACTCACTACCACAGGAAGTCATTGAGGCAGAGAACGTATCAAGATTCCAAAAGGGATTGGACATTTATACAGATAACAAGAATATCCAGAATTACCATCATAATTAATGACAACAAATCTTCTGGCAGACCTCCCGCTAAGAGCGTAAGCCAGGCTCTAACTATTAGAGACCACATCTGCCCTAATGGGGGGCAGATCATCCCACATCCGCTTCTGTGGGGTTCTTACACCTTCTTCCGAAGCAGCTGGTGCTGGCCACTGTCAGAGACAGGATATTAGACTTGGGTCTACTCAGATCTGGCAGTTCCTTGCAGGCAGACTGGCTGTGTCTCCGACTCTCCAGAACCTTCCCCCTCTCTGGAAAATGGATTATCTCCTCCTTGGCCCTGCCCGTTACTGCCTGGAGCTGCTAGCAAATACAGTGGGATCACAAGTGAAGCTCTTTAGCAGCTTTCTTTGCTCTGATGGTAAACGTGCCAGCTAGCAGCCGTCAGAGGCAACCAGGATGATGGGTGCTTAAATCATAGAATCATAGAATATCAGGGTTGGAAGGGACCTCAGGAGGTCATCTAGTCCAACCCCCTGCTCAAAGCAGGACCGAACCCCCAACTAAATCACCCCAGCCAGGGCGTTGTCAAGCCTGACCTTAAAAACCTCTAAGGAAGGAGATTCCACCACCTCCCTAGGTAACCCATTCCAGTGCTTCACCACCCTCCTAGTGAAAAAGTTTTTCCTAATATCCAACCTAAACCTCCCCCACTGCAACTTGAACCATTACTCCTTGTTCTGTCATCTGGTACCACTGAGAACAGTCTAGATCCATCCTCTTTGGATCCCCCTTGCAGGTAGTTGAAAGCAGCTATCAAATCCCCCCTCCTTCTTCTCTTCTGCAGACTAAACAATCCCAGTTCCCTCAGTCTCAGTCATGTCATGTGCTCCAGCCCCCTAATCATTTTTGTTGCCCTCTGCTGGACTCTTTCCAATTTTTCCATATCCTTCTTGTAGTGTGGGGCCCAAAACTGGACACAGTACTTCAGATGAGGCCTCACCAATGCCGAATAGAGGGGAATGATCATGTCCCTCGATCTGCTGGCAATGCCCCTACTTATACAGCCCAAAATGCCATTAGCCTTCTTGGCAACAAGGGCACACTGTCGACTCATATCCAGACAAGAACAGTCCGAGGTTCACCCATCACTACTGAGTTTGGGGTTAGAGGTGGAAACAGGAGAACCTACTCCAGCTGTGCCCTGCCCCTCCCAAGGTGCATTTCCAGCACTGGCACGGTACATGTTCCAATACTGCTTGTATAGGGAGCCAGGCTCTGCCACCACTTCGAGAGCCTGTTCTCGCAAGGTGCTGACTGCCCCGAACTCCAGCTGACTTCTGGGGGAGCTGAGGATACTTGGCAAGGCACAGGATGGGGCTCTCGGGGCCCAGTGGTTGGAACTGGGAATCGAGGCCTGGCACTTGTATCCAGCTCTATCACAAATATGTTGGGTGACCCACAGGTAAATCACATTCTCAATGCAAGAAGGATGGTTTTGTGGTTATGGCGATAGACAGGGATGCAGGAAGTCTGGATTCAGTTTTTGGCTCAGATTTTTAAAGGTACGTAGGAGTTGCTATGCCTAACTGATTTAGGAGCTTAAACCTCATTTCAAAAGTTATTTAGACACAGCTGAGATTTAAGCTTCTAAACCACTTAGGTTTTGCAGCCCCTAAATACCGTTACAAATCTGGTCCTTAGTTGCTCCGGGCCTCACCCTTCCCACCTGTAAAATGGGGCTGAGAGTGATGCTTTTCTACCCCAAAGGGTGATGAGGAGAAATCCCCCGTGCTTATGAGATGAAGGAGGAGCTCTGATACTTAAGTGACAGGTGCCCATAGAGGAGCTGACTCCCCACAGTGCCCCCCTCAAGGCTGGGCATGGCAGCGCTTTCCTGTTTAGCGCTCCCGGCTGATAGGTGCCCCAGCCCTGTGGTGGCCAGCCTCTTTGTGGCATTCAGCCCTCTGGCCAGGTCACTTTAAGCCTCTCCCCTTCTGGGGTAAGAAATTCCAACAAATAGTTTCAAGGTCTCTGTGAGGTTTCCAGCCTCTGGGACAAGCGGCTCTTACAGCCTCTCTCCAGGCTCTGATTAGTCCTTATCGCCTCATGTCAGGGCTTCATGCCACCTTCCCAGTGGCTGGGGTGGAGAACCCAGGCCCGCCCTCTTCACGGGTCCCAGTCCAGGGACCTGAGGACGAGCCGCCAAGGTTTGTTCTGTCACACACCTTGCCGCTGCCTCCCAGAACCCCTTGCTCCCATTAGTCTTCCTCAGCCTTCTCGCCAGCCCCTTCCTGGGCTTTTTGTAATGAGCCACATCTCCCAAGGTTTCTCCTCTGAGGTCTGGGTCTTGCTCTCGTGGCAGAGTCAGCCACCGCAGCTCGCTCCAGGCCGGTGTCTTCCAGAGATGTCTGAGTGCTGCATAGTCCTTCCCTGCAGCTCCTCATTCTTGTCCAAATACTTTGTGGGCTTCCCCGTCTCCAGCTTCCTCCTGGCTCAGGGTGACCCACCTCTGGTCCCAGGCTTCCTCCTGGCTCTGGACCTTCCAGTTCTGGCTCCAGGCTTCCTTCTGCATTTAGTCCAGGAAGCTCCCAGCTACCTATCTCCTGTGCCTCCCCCGGGTCTTCTTTTCTTACTGCCCTATGCCCCCTCCTTTAGGAAGACTCAGTTCCTTCCCAAGTGGATTTGATGACCAGTGTGCAATATGCCTCCAAGTGCCACCCACTGGCCTAATGGGGCTCAGGCTCCTGTTAACCCATGGTTAACCATAACCAGTGTGGGGTTTATACATCCTATCACAGTGCCACAAATGTGCCTGCATAGTGCTTCAGTTTCCCAGCTGTAGACCGTCGCCGAATGATATTTACCCAACTTTTCAAAAGTGCTGTAAGATCTCTGTGTAAGAGGGATAATGTAAATGTGAACTAGTTTTATTACAGCTGGTCAAAATGAACTTTTTACATAAAATCATGAACATTTCAACATTTTCAAATCTGGGTTCGTTCCCACGGGTTTTTGAAATGGACTGATATTTTGGCTTTAAAAAAAGTCAACAGAACTTTCTTTAAATGTTTTTTTTTTCGGGAAATGTTTGAAAAACTATTTTTTTCCATTTCAAAATGGAAAATTTTCATTTTTTGAGAACATCCAATTTTGGGGTGGGGATTTACCCTGGGGCTAAACTGACGAATCAGTATTGGCAAAGCAGCAGAGACAGGGCTAACCAAATCCCCCAAATGATCAATTAAAAAAAGTGAATTAACAAACAATAGAAACTTTTGAGGAAAACTTAAATGTTCTGAGCAAAAATTTCTGGTTTTGAAAAAATGGCCAATTTTTTTCAAAACAAAAATCAACTAAAACCCATAAAAAATATGGACTTAAAGTCAATGAGATTTAGGCACCTAAACCAGTTAAGGGATTTTGGTAAATTCCACTAGGTGCCATTTTGCTTCTTTAGACACCCGACTACGTTGTGTATATATAGCCCTAGCTCTAATCCTTGCTGATCTGGTGAGTCATCCAGCCATGTTCATTCCAGAATGACATCTACGAGTGGGCCCGAGATCACCGCGTCCACCACAAGTTCTCTGAGACCGACGCGGACCCCCATAACGCCACGCGGGGCTTCTTCTTCTCCCACGTTGGCTGGCTGCTGGTGCGCAAACACCCCGACGTCATCGAGAAGGGCCGGAAGCTAGACCTGGCTGACTTGAAGGCCGACAAAGTGGTGATGTTCCAGAGGAGGTGAGCCGGGTGCAGCCGGGGTAGGGGAAGAAAATAGGGTGATTGTGGTGCAAGGTGAAGGGCAGGTGTTGTGACCAATGTATCACTGGGGAACCAAAGGGGCTCTGAGGCATGGCATCCGGCTACAGGAATCTCTTGCAGGGGTAGTCAGTAGGCGAACCACGGGCCGAATCCGGGCAGCCAGACACGTTTGAATGGACCTCAAAATCTTTTATGTACTTATTATCATTATTTTCTCTGGAGTCTGGACCTTGACTAGACCTTGACCAAGACATTTGGATCTTGACAAAAAATAATTGACTACCCCTGCTCCAGAGCAAAACTAACCCTCTTGTGAGTCACCCCGGATCCTTTCTGCAGGTGACCAGCCCCAAATGAAGTCAGTGGGACACTTCAGGTGTGTTTGGAGCATCGGGGCCATTGTTTGCAAACCTGGGCAGAAATCCATGAGGAACAAGTTCCATCCAGCACAGCAGTGGGATATATTACATGTTTTCCTTTGTTTGTGGGACAGGAGGAAATGGGGTCAGAAAAAGCAGGGCTCCAGCCTCGCTGGGAATGTCGCTGGCACAGAGGGCCCAGTGCCAACCGGCTGAATCCCTCTTGTATAGAACATGTCCCACTGCTGCTGCAGCCTTAGCAGGGGTAAAGCCCTGGGCAGCCTGTGAGGAACAATAGTTCCTAGGTAGGTGAGTGAGAGGAGAGGCTTCTGCTCGTATCTCAGGGCCTGCCTCTTGCCCAACCCCTGTACCTCTGTGGAAATGGAAGAGGCACAAGATTCCCTCCCCGCACACACACACACCCCAGCTGCACTTAGACTCCACCATCTGGTGTCTCCCCCTTGCAATCTCTCACTTGCTGGGATTGGGATTCCCTCCTTCTATCCCCTCCCCCGCCGCGCACACATGGCCCGGTTCCCCAGGGCAGCCGAGCGCCAGGCCTCCCCCAGTGTGAGTGACAGGTTCCTTGACAGACGGAGGAGAGGAGTCTGCTGCAGCCCACAGGTAAGGAGCCAGAGCTCGAGCTGCAACAGCACATGCCCTGAGATCTGGAGGTCCCTGGTTTAATCCCAGGTGCGTCAACCAAGATGGCAGCTATCGCGCTCCTCCTGTACAAATGTGACCTGGCAACAATAATGATAAACGGAGCCCCAGGCAGCTCTGCTTCAAAGCACCTGTACTCCATTCCCAGCTCATCTGCTGGGTCCTTCTTACCCCTGCCAGTGGGTGTGTGGCTCTCATTGTTTGCCCAGCCTATCCCCTTTATTCTTCTGTGCCCACTTTGTCACTGCCCTTGTTTTCCTTTTTCTCCAGGGGTCAAACCGGGGCAGAGATGGGCTGGTTCTGTGCTGTTTTCTTTGTATAGTTAAAATTAGCACCTTTCCCCCGCCCCAGAGACTCAGCCCTGGTAGACGACCTGAACTGCCCGTGCCCCTGAATGCTCCTCCATGGGATGCACCCGCCCACTAACTCTCTCCCCATTCTGTTTCCTGGCAGGTTTTACAAGCTTTCTGTGGTGGCCATGTGTTTCCTGTTCCCCACCATAGTGCCCTGGTGCTTCTGGGGGGAATCTCTCCGCAACAGCTTCTTCCTCCCCGCCATCCTGCGCTACGTGGTAGTGCTCAACGCCAGCTGGCTCGTGAACAGTGCTGCACATATGTTTGGCAACCGGCCCTATGATCGAAACATCAACCCCCGGGAGAACCGCTGGGTCACGTTTGGAGCCTTAGGTATGTTGGTGATGCCTTTTAATTCCAAACCACAAACTGACTGTGAATGAGACAAGCAGAGATCACTGCACCCACCACTGAAATGCAGCTGTGTCTGGGGAGGAACACAGCAGCTGTTCAGTAGTGCATAGCAACAGTGCAGGAGAGTCTGGGAGAGAAGGGAAGAGGAATAACATCCATTTATAAAACTGTGGGACAGGGAAAATTTTAGGTGCATAATTACATAAAATGGACCAGATCCTCAGCTGGTGTAAATCTGCATTGCTTTAAAGTCTGTACAGCTATCCTGATTTACATCAGGATCTGACCCTAGGAACCCCAATGTTCCTGCACTCACATACGGGAAAGCCAGAAGCGCATAGACTCCATCTGGGTGATTTCGCCCACGCACCTGCAGACCTGCGCATTCACTGGAGTGTCTCATGCTCTAGTCAGTGGGTACATAGGGCAGTGGGGTTATCTTCTCCAGTGTCCTGCATATAGGACCTCTTTATCTCACAATGAGATTTATTTGCCCTGCCTGACGGTCTCACCGCCTGTTTGTTATGATGACAATTGCCCCCCGCTCTCTCTTTTCACCTCTGGGAAATGATGCTTCTGAAAAAGCTGGACACACCCAGCCAGAAGTGCCCAGTGGTTTCTGAATTGAGACAGCCAAGTCCTGATTTTCAGAGGTGCTGAGGACCTGGGGAAAATGAGCCCAGAATCATCATTAGCTTTGTACTGCTTTCCTGGGCCAGATTCTCAGCTCGTGTGTATCGTAGCTCTGTGGACTTCGGCAGCACTCCACTGATTTACATGAGCTGGGGATCTGGCCCCAGACTTTCACTAGCGAGAGTCGTAGCTGCATAATTCCCATCTGGATCTGAGCTTCTCAGACTCTGGGGATGGAAGATGGATGGATGGAGCCTCCAAGAAGGGCCAGGACTCACTTCAGATCTCGCCAGGAGCTCAGCCAAAGCTAGATGGCTTCTCTCTGGGAGACGGAGGAGGAATCCGAAACCCCCACAAGCCTCACTAGGCAATCTGAGGGGGCCCATTTTAAGGGCTTTAATAAGGGGAGGCCCAGGCACAAGCAGAAGTGCGGGAAATATCCTGAGTTTTCTCACCCAATTTGACAGCTTCAAGAGGGTCAGGTAAACAGCCAACCGAGCTCTGGCTGGACCTGTGCTGAGATTAACCAGCCCTCACTTGTTCTCCCCTCCAGCCTGCCCTGACCTCCTCACACGCCCTTAGCACCATCCTGGTCCTCCTCTGATGTTGGACTCGGTGCAGAGGAGACGGGGCTGGTGGGTGATGTTACACATGGGCAATTGGGGCTGAGGAGTCTGAGCTGGTGTTGGAAGAGGGGAGAGCAACAGGACAGCCAGCCACCAGGGGCTGCTCAGCCCCTACTCCCCCCCGCCTTTCCCCGCCCAGTCAGGGTGCTGCGTGCCTGGCTCCGAGCGCTGTCCCTTTGTGACTGGCCGTTTGCAGGCAGGTCCCATTGACAGGGCTGGTATTTTCTGACATTCTCCCTGCCTTGGCCTCTCACCGGTGCATTGTCACCAGCCTGTCGATGGGGGAGTGCGCACGTAGCCAGCGCTTCCGCCACTGCCTTGTTACACCCTGCTCAGAGCAGGGTCGATGGCCCAGTGGTAGCAGTGCTCGGGCTCACCTCACGCTGGCGCTTCCACTGATGGGATAGACCAACACTGGGAGACTTTCTAGAAACCCCTCATGTAGACACAGCCTCGGCACACAGAACCCAGGCTAAGCACAGGGCCTGGGCCAGCTCCCAGCGAAGTCAATGGGCTGCAAGGGGAGGAGGATCACGGGGCTGTCCCTGCCCCAAGGGGAGCACAGTCTGCATTCGGCACAGATGGCCCATTCTGGGGACATGGTGCCCGAGTCTGGGGAAGGGACTTCTACAGCGTGACGGTTTCAAACCCAGCTTCAGGTGCATTTACAGTGTCTTGTCCCTGCTCTTCCGTTCCAGGCGAAGGCTTCCACAATTACCACCACACCTTCCCCTATGATTACTCCACCAGCGAGTTCGGGTGGCACTACAACTTCACCACAGCCTTCATTGATCTCATGTGCCTCCTGGGGCTGGCCAGCGACCGCAAGAAGGTCTCCAAGGAGACCATCCTGGCTCGGAAAATTCGGACTGGTGATGGCAGCCACAAGAGTGGCTGAGGGCCTGTGTCATCCCCCCAAAACCTCTTCACTCACCCCAAGCGAGCTGGGCACAGGGTTTTATGTTCTATTTACTAACCATTGAATAATGCTATCAGGTTGCTTCAGATGATGATGATTTTAACCCCCTCCTGCACAATGTATTTTAAATGATGTATTTAAGACCTATAACTTTGTCTCTCTAATGCTCAGCAGCTCCATCCCTCTCTTCTCTCTTTCTTCTTTTTGTTCTTCTTTTGTCTCTCTCTGGCAAGATCTCTCCCTTTCACTCTAACCCCTCCATGCTTCATTCTCTCCTTGCCTCTGCGTCTCCTTGGCGGGGAACTGGTCAAAAGCCTGTCCGGGGCAGATCGTGCCGCTGGCTGGACAGTGGAAGTGGAGGGGAGTCTGTACCAGCTGGCTGAAGAGTTGAGCCAAAGTCAGGGACTCTTTCTCTAGAAATCCCCCTTTCCTGCCTCTGGTTCTCCTGCCCTCCCAGGGCTGCTGACTCAGGATATGAATGAGTGTCTCTCTATGAGAACAGCAGCAAAGGCCTTTCCCAGAAGGAATAGCAGACCTGTCCCCTTCCTTGCTATCAATGAGAGAGCACGATGTTGTCTCCTTGGTGCTGGGCCTTCTTTGGCTCCTGTAGGCCAAGGAAAGGTGATGCTGGGGATGGGGAGAGGAGACCCCTGAAAGCCTCTTCTGGAGGAGTAGCATCAGCTGCAGAACATGGTGGCGTGGGGCGCGACAGCTGCCTTCTCACCTCGCTGGAGTGTCGCAATGGCTCCTCTTGCCGCCCTGCAGCGTCTCAGTGCTAGAATTGCCTGGAACGACTCAAGCTGGGCTCCTAGCTGCCTGCGTGGAAAAGCTGCAGACAAGGACATCTGGGGAAACGAGGGGCTTGATGCCATTGAAATACACTGGCTTGGGATGGGACGGAGTGGAACCGTGGGCAATATTTCCCAGGAAGAGACTCTTCCGGAAGAACGACAGCAGGAGAAGCCAGAAGGAAGTGACACAAAGCCCCATCTCTGTGTTAAGCTGCTTTGTGTGTCGGAGGAATGAGGTCCTAGTGTGTGTCTGCGTCATACGGATTCTTGTTACTGAACACGGTTGAAATGGGGAGACGAAGGGGCAGCTGATGTGGCCACATCCAAGCGAATTGATCATGTGTGTGACCAGCTAGAAAGCAGGGATGATGCTATGTCAGAGACCCAGGGGAGCCTCATGTCTGTGCAGATGGGCTTCCTGCAGCCAATTAACAAGTACCTGATAGAAACCGACACCAAAGCAGGGGACACTGAGAGGGTTAAAGCATGAGAAAGTTACAGGGTCCCAGCCCAGTGCTCTGTGTGACCTCTTCCCAGCACAGCCCCTCTGAAGCCAGGAGGTGGAGCCACGTCTACTGGGCAGATCCAGGCTGGAGATGGGACTGAATTGCCCCAATGTGCTGGGGACAGGAAAGCATGTCAGGTGGCCCGTGATCTGCTCCCAGCCCCTTCCAAAGCAAATCAGAGATGCCCTGGGGCCAGTGACTGCCTGTTGCACACACTGCGGTGGGAAGTGCTGGTGCAGCCATTGCTGATGGCGGCCGTTCCTGTAACTCCCCCAGACACACGGTGCTAGAGCAGGGTGCTGGCTGCTGGGCCATGTGTAATTCGTCCCCTGCAGACAGGGCCTTTGCTCCAGCGAGGCGGGTCCGCTGCATAGCGCCGCGGCCTGGGCACGGAAGGGGCCTGTTTCACTCCTTGGCAGCACTGACAGCGGAGGCTAATGCCAGGCTGACTGCGCTGTCTGAGGCCTCAATACATTGGGGGGAAGGGTTAAAACCCTTGTGCGTTTCACCCCATAGCACTTGCAGATGCCGCGGATAGGCATGGCGGGGTGAGGCTCCATTCCCATCAGCCACTCGCCAGATAGTGCTGTGGCGCTGGGTGAAAGCTAGCGAGGTGCCCAGGCTGCTGGATCCTGGGGCAGAGCTGGGAAAGGCTGGGCTGGGGTGGAGGAATGATGCTGCAATGCTCCTTCCCCCGTCCCAGCCGTGCTGCGTATCCTCAAGGGCAGGCTTCAGCCTTCCCATGTAGGCCAAGGTGAGCACAGCACTGCTGATGTCTTGCTGCGGTCGCAAAGCTCTTGCTGTCAGCCAAGAAGTCGTCCCTGGCCTTGTTCCTGTGCATTGCTGTGACCAGAACTGTCCAGCTTTGCAGAGCAGCCTGCCCTCTGACTGAGCTAGCGAGATGAACAGGCTCAGGAGCGGGCCACCAGCAGATAAGCCAGCCGGGAAGCTTTTAATTCCTGAGCTCTATACCCGGGAGGTGGATGGCTGGGTGGGATTCCCCACGGCTGAGACTTATAACTGCTCAGAGGGTGGCTGTGGATAGTTTTATCCAACCGGATACAAAGAAACCTGCATGTCATAATCCTGGGCCAGATCCATCCCTGGTCCAAACCCCACTGACTGGAGTCTACACCCTGGGTGAATTTGGCCTCCCCCAATAGTTCTTCCCTCACCTCATCAGCCGGACATGTTGTGTGATGCAACCTACTGTTCAGATACATGACACAACATGCTACGGCATCCACCATCCTCTCAGGAGAAAAGCAAGGGGTTGATCTGGACGTTGCCTCTAAATCCCAAGAGTATTGATCACATCCAAAAATCCTGACACAGTGGGGAAGCAGAGTGGAAGTAACCAAACAGCGCCGGTGTTTGCCCAGTCACTTTGTTGGTAGATTGGCATACATCTCTGGGTGCCTTAAGTCTTTAATACACATAGGAGTATTGACAGCTATTTGCAGGATGTTTTTTTCTTTGATGAATTATGGAAATATAATTAATTATTTAATTGCCGTCATCAACTTGTGGGTGCAGGTGATTTTGAATGTATTGAGTTAGAATTTGTTAGATTAAGGAACAGATGCATCATTTTAAATAGAACCTTGTTTGCTTTGTATTTCTTTCTTTGGTGGCATGTTTGTATCCTAAGTGTGTTCTCTGTGAGTTTAGCTAAAGTGAGTCAGAGTGAGAGGTGGACGTAGACAAAGCACCAGCGTGTCTAGTGGCTAGAGCAGCAGGCCTCCTGAGCTCTATTCCCAGCTTTGCCACTGACTCACTGAGAGATCTAGGGCCAGTCAGTTAACTGCTCCATGCCTCAGTTTCCCTCTCTGTAAAATAGGGATAGCACCCTACCTCACAGGGGTGTTGTGAGGCATAATTAATACTTGTAAAGTGAGATCAGGGTGTGGCAGGCCCAATATACATGCTAGTGGTGGCGGTGGTGGTAAATGACTGGATTGCAAAGAGTGTTCTCAGCCCCTCTGGTATCCTGGAGACGGGACGTGCCAGTGTTGGATAAGTAGTGAAGGATTGGAAGGTTGAATCTGTGCATTGTCTAAGCTCTGTTGCTATTGAAATGTGAGTGGGATACAACTTTCCTGGTTCGGTTTCTGCATTCTAAGATCTCTATGTTTTGTCTACTGAAAAACTTTTGGAAATAATTTCTACTAATTTGGAATCAGGCAGCTGGTTGTGCTGATCTGAACTGGTATCTGTTCATAATAAAAGTTTACTTTAAAACTTGACTGCCTGACGACAAAGGGCTGGGCGGGCTAGAGTCTTCAGAGACTGCTGTTCCTGCAGATATTTCCTCCTATGCGGGGTTGGGGGGGAAGGGAACCTGTCTTTTTAAATCTGGTGAATAAGCTGGTTTGAGGGCACTCACTCACAACCACGTACTGTGCAGTCACACCCCTGGAAGCGGGACGCTAGCCGTCCCTTCCATTAGGGGTTACTTCAGTTTAAATTCCACTCAGAGCCTCTCACCAAAACACTGCAGCAGCTGACTGATATGCATGCAGCAAAACACAAAATGCCAGCAGCTCAGCTCTGGGCACGGCTGAGCGTGGTACAGGACTTCAGTAACCTCATGCTGCAGGGGAGAGAGGAGGAATTTTCCTTCTGTGATAGAGCATCACTGGAGAGTGGTCCTGTCCCCTCTCCTCCTGCAGCTGGGCAGAAACTGGTCAGGGCAAGGACAGCCCCATTTAATACATGTCTATAGACCCCTCCCCTCCCCCCATCACTTCAGTTGTCTCGGAAACTGTAGTAGGGCTGGACCATCATTAGACAGCACTGTCCGGCTTCTCTAGAAGGGGGGGAGGGATAGCTCAGTGGTTTGAGCATTGCCCCCCCCCAAACACAGGGTTGTGAGTTCAATCCTTGAGGGGGCCATTTAGGGATCTGGGGCAAAAATCTGTCTGGGGATTGGTCCTGCTTTGAGCAGGGGGTTGGACTAGATGACCTCCTGAGGTCCCTTCCAACCCTGATATTCTATGATCTCTGCTGTCATTCTTGTAGCCACTCTTAACCACCAGATGTGGCTCCTAGATACACATGATGAGCCAGATTTCCCAAAGAGCTCAATGCTCATGAATGCTGTCAGATTTTCAAACATGTTGAGCTCTTCTGAAAAATCTGGCTCTGCAGGAGGGCCATTGGTATAGACTGTGTGTGGGAGGGGGCAGTTTCATCTCATTTCTGAGGCTTTCATTGTTCTCCTCCTTGTACATGACAACCAGGCCCATGTGCCACAAGGCTGCTCTGAGCTATCAGAGGGCTTCAGTTCTTCAGCCATGGCATTCAGTATGCCAGTCTCCAAACAAGCTTTGAAGTAGAAGAGACCTGGCAATGCCTGTCTGATGCTCCTTTTGTCCAGGCTTTGCAGCATATACCCATGTGTCAGAACAGGATGCTGCACACATTCCCTTCCACTTGAGATGAAACAAGAGGCTGTGATGGCAAATTTCAAAGCCTCGGATTAGCCATTGGGTAATAACGATCACGCTGCATGGATTCGTCAACGTGTTGAACTCAGATTGCCAGCTCTCCCTCCGGGTTAAGGTTGTTAATTAAATTCCCTGTCCAAATTCCTTTCCCAAACAATAGAATCCCTCCCCACAGCACCGAATCAACAGCTCACCCTCTTCCCTCAAGTTGATTCCTGTATTAATACTGCTAGAGCTTTAAAATATTGCTAGAGGGGGAGATTTTCAAAGGTACAAATGGGATTTAGGGCCCCCAATTCCTGTGTGCCTAGCAGCCCATTGTAACTCTGAAATCTCCCCCCTGATTTCCTCCCACCAGCAAAAGGAATATTTAAGCTGCAGAACACAGCCGCATTTGAAAGAAGTTGCTAGCAAACATGCCCATGCTTGTTAAAGGTTCTGCCCTGATGTCCTTCCGGCGGGGCACAGGCTGTGAAAACCAGCACCAATGTAATCCAAGCAGTCAGGTTAATGGGTTTGCCATGTACATTAGTACTGGACAAAATACAAGGGAACTGCCAAGGAATCCACAGTGGAAAACATCTTCCACTGAGAATCTACCTAATGGAACGAGTATAGGACACACCACAGTAACTGCACAGATTTCACTGGGGGTAGAGGAATTTTTATTGTGTCACCCTACCCTGGTGCCACACAATGAGCACATCACAGTGAGGGCAGAATCCAGCCTCCTCCCCATAAATCTGGGCTGAGTAGACGTGTTGCATTTGCCACCTTTATGGCAATGGGGGATGATGGAAGGCAGGGGGGCTCCCACCACAGAAGCACCAATAGCCACCCTGTCAGGAGAGGGGTACTGCCATGAAGAAGCCAGGGTAAGCTGATTACTGGGGGCAAATTGATAGTGTAAGGCCAGGACTGGGGTCAAAGGAACAACAACAACAAGGGAACCAGCAGTGGACAGTGCTGGCCTAGTCTGATCTCCAGTGGGGTCCACCCAGATATGAGATTGGCTGCTCCCACAGGAAAGGGGAGGAGCCAAAATGGAGCAGCACAGGGGACAAATGAGAAGGCTTGGGGCATGCATCCAGAGAGTGGATGGAGTCAGAGGCACATCACAACAGCATGAGCACTGGAAGATGCTGGATTCCAGAGGGAAAACACCTGTCAGCAGAACTGGCAGCCTGGGACGTGCCTGCCCCACAGGGACTTCCTCCAGCAGTTAACAGGGCAGGTCGTTCTCCACAGCCCATGGCACTTGCTTTGGCTGGTGCTCATTGC